AAATTTAACATGCGACAGAAGCACAAGTTTGGGTTAAATTTCAATACCAACATGAGGAGGTGAATCTTTCACTTGCTTTTGCATTAACCATGACTGTGGTGAAAGTAGCGTGGACATCTGGGGTTCTTGGGCACCTGAAAGTCTTTCTGTTTCCCCAACATCAGAGGCGTGACATGGATAGCTATCTCTCTTGTTACATAGCATGGTACTAGGTGTAGAGCAAGAGGCAGGCACTCTTTTCAGAGTAACTGGCGTATCAGATTCAAGTAAGAAATGAAATTCAGGAAATTTTGAGGAGGATATATAGGCCCATGTTTTACTTGTGTAGCAACATATCATATTTTTTAATATGTAGGAGTCTTGTTTTTATTTTCGTTTGTTTTAGATAATGTCTCACTGAATAGCAACTGGTTATGCTGTATTCCAGGCTGGCCTGGAAACCTCCACCTGTCTCTCTATCAAGTACTGATATTAAAGGTATGTGTCAGCATGCCCGATAACACTCATTTTTTATTGAATGATAGTTCAATTTAGACTAATCTTTAATACATGGTCATGAACATTGAACTCCTTGGGTGCTACTTTATCTTGTTTATCAATAGCCTTTAGAACACGGTGCACATTAATAAAGGCAAAATTATGCAAAGTGGGGAAACCCAAGAGAAGAAATAGTATCTAGATTTGTAGGAATATCTTCCATAATCTGTGGATACATTTTGAAGATCTAGAAGGTTATTTTTAATAGCTTTGTTGAATCGTATGTTATACAAAAACACGGGGGCAGCTACAGGCCACTCTGGCTCTCGTGCATGAGAACTCAGCTTTTCTTCTGTTTCCAGATCACTGTAGCTACCCATACCAGCCAAGGCTTATGAAATTGAAAAAGGCTTGGAAAATACATGAGGCTTGAGCACCAAAATGAGTTCTTTGTACCTCAGGGAAGTGGTAAAATGGCAAAGCTTGAGTCTGGCTGTTGCTCCACTATTTAGTAAATGCATGATCTCAGGTAAGTAACTGTGCTTTTCTGGGCCTTCGATGAGGCTATCACCTCTCTGTGTAAGGCTCATGTGAGATCTTCTTGAAAAAACTCTGTAGAGACGTGTACAAGCCAGAACAGTTTATGCTCACTAAGTTTCTGACATCTGAATTGCTATCATTGTGTAGATGTGAATGCTCACTGGCTTCTCATTTATTCTTCATTGTTCGTCCCACAAATCACCCATGCAGATGCACAAAATCAACAGAGAAAAGGTAAAACCGAGGCTGTCAGTAATTAGTACAGAATCTGATCATCATGTGTGAGGTCCCCAGGCTCTGCTCATCTGAGGTGAGTCATCTTCACTGTGTTTTCTGCCCAAGAAGACAAGAGTATGAAGGAGCTGTGTCTGACAACAGAAGGCAGCATATTTTCATGCCTGCTATGCTTGCTCTGGGCACTCATCTGGAATGGACTGACTTGATAAATTTTTTCTCATCTTGAACACATCTCATAAACAAACTTCCCAATGTTTCCACATCTTCAGTCTCCGATGAGATGCATGATGCTCTTGTTACATGGAAAGGGAGATGAGTAGGTGAGACCCTGACTCCTAGCTCTGAACTGTGTTCTCTGTCATGATGAAAAACACAGAACCTGACATAGGCTGAAAGTTATACCCACTAAGCTTGGCTGTATTATGTTCATGTAGCTGGAATGCAGCGTAAATTCTGCCCTAGCATAAGTACCCAATACTTCAAAAAGTTGTTATTCTGATGTCATAGTTAGTTTTTTCTGCCTATGAGAAAAAGCATCCACCCTCATTTAACATGTAGATAAGTTTAGGTTAGAGTATTGGTATTCCAAAACTCCAAGATAAGGATTTCTTTGCCAGTCTCAAGACACATGCATAAACTATTGTATTTTGTATAAACTTTTAAATATACAAAGTATTAAATATGCAAATTAAATTAATTTGAAAAAGTAGGCATATCTATTTAGTACCAACAAATCAAGTAACAAACTGCTCATATTGCCCAAATTCTGTCTGTCAGTTCACCGCCCACTCAACAAGAGTAATAATTAGTCTCCTTTTATCATCAGTTAGTCTTAGCTTTCTCTGCAGTCTTATTTAGTGGAATAATGCTACATTTATTGATTATTAAGTTTCTGAAATTAAAATATAATTTCATCATTTCTTCCTTCCATTTCTTTCTTTCTGCTTTTTCCATGCATCTTTTGTTCTTTCTAGAATTTATGCTCTTTTTCTTTCATTGCTCACACACAGAAACACATACACACAGAGACACACAAACACATACAAACACACACTCCTAAATTTAAAAATACAATCAACTAAGAAAGGCACAAATAGATATGATAACATGGAAATGGGAAAGAGACAATCAACCTTCAAAAAAGAACTACAGGAAACTAAGGAATACTGACAGCAGGAAGAAATGGTCTTCCCCAGGAAAGAGTACCTCTCTAATAGTTTACTCAAACCAAAAGGTTAGCCCTGAAGTTATACGCTATGGAACAATCTCTTTGTACACTGCGAATACGTCTTACTCTCATTGGTTAATAAAGAGCTGATTGGCCTATAGCTAGGCAGGAAAAGGTTAGGCAGTATTTGTGGACAAAAAGAGGGTTGGGGGATGGCAGAGTCACCAGGAGAGGTAGAGAGAAGCAAGATGAATATGGCGTGCTGGGAAAAGGTCCTGGCACATAGGAGAGCATAGCTAAGAAATATGGGTTAATTAAGTTGTACGAGTAATAGGCCTAAGCAATTTGCCGAGCATTTATACTTAATAAATTCTCAGTGCAGGTGTTTGGGAGCTGGCTAGTGGGACAGAAAACTCCACCTACAGTCATATACATACACAAATTATTTTTTCCTACCTTACTTCTAAAGCTAATTATTGGAATGGGATTCATCCCCAAGTATCTGTCCATAACTTCAGTTTGTTTTTTTTTTACTATGGCACACTATTCCACTATGTAAATATGCTATACATATCCTATTATCATATATATATATATATATAGTATGTGCATTTTACATATTTTCTTGCAAATATGTGAATGCACTAATGATTAATATAGTAGTTTCTCCTAATTAGAAGAGATTACCTTTCAAATTCTCATGCCAGCCTGAAACAGAAGATCCCAGATAGTTTACATGGATACGAAAAATGCGATTTGGCCTAAAATGATTCATGGTTTTTTAATTTCAATGAATAATTTCCAAATATAAGATTATAGGGCTGGAGAGATGGATCAAAGGTTAAGAGCACTGGCTGAGCTTCCGGAAGTCCTGTGTTCAATTCCCAAAACCCACATGGTAGTTCACAACCATCTATCTACTATGAGTTCTGGTGCCCTCTTCTACCGTGCAGGCATGCATGCAGGGAGAATAGTGCATATATAATAAGTAAATAAATAAATCTTTTTTAAAAATTAAAGAATCAGTTCATAGAAGCCTACAAACAGTTAAGTGCAATGACTTGGAAAGATTAAGCTAAAATACTTATGATTTTGTTACACACACACATACTCCTAAATATATAAATATATATATCACCAAATATATCAAAATAATATACTCAATTTGTATGTTACTTAAATGTAGAATTAAAGAAGCAGAGGTCACAAATTTCACTGTGAGTAAGGAAGGAGCACATGGGATGGATTTGAGGGAGAAAGGGGGAATGATGTAATTACAATCTCAAATATAATGGCAATTATAAGAAAAAATACTTACGGTTTTGATTAAACATGGCAACACAATCGTAACTCCTTCATCTTCCTCTCCTGTCACACTCCAAATCTTCTGGATTTGCTTTTATTACTCCCATTCCTTGTCCTGCTTTTTTGCTTTACTAGAAAGACTGTGTGTAACTGTATTTCTTATGAATGAGTAGTCTTTTCTGTTTCTTTGTTCAAGACAAGGTTTCTCTGTGTAACAGCCCTGGCTTTCCTGGAAGTTGTTTTGTAGACCAAGATGGCCTTGAACTCACTGAGATCCACCTGCCTCTGCCTCCCAAGTGCTGGGATTAGAGATGTGTGCCATCACTGACTGACATGAGTGAGTATTCTTAACTTCCACCAGATACAACTGAACGAAATGTGCATATGTGGCCATGTATACAGGCAACTCACGTATGTTGAATACTGAGGGCCACTGGCTTCTTGGAAGAGAAGGCTGAAAGCCAACCCTATGCACTTTGGTGTTGATTTCATTGATTTCATTTTAAAATCCTGTTATCTTCAGTCAAATGCTGGCTGAACTTGAATATGCAGAAAATGTGGTTGCCGACAGGGTGATAGCCCTTAATTTAATAACTGAGGTCATGCATTTAACATTCTTAATCTTAAAAAACATCTACCTCATTCCAAGATGACAAGTTTGCCTTCGCACAGTTCTAAGGACATAGAACACATTTTTCTTCAATTCTCCACCCACATAGTCATACATTTCAGACAAACATCATTTGTCAAAGAGTAATCAGTGCTCATAATGATATCCTCATTGTGTTACCAAGATACAAAGTCTCAACTGTCAAAGACGTTATACTAATTTATACCTTAGTGCTATATTTGATCAGTATATTTAACGATCCTGTTGCTTTTGGAAAGAAAAGCAATGATGTCAGGCTGAGAGAGGCAAAAGCACATATTTTTTCACTTGATTAAGTCTTTGTATTTAATTATTCTGGGGAAACCATTCACACAATTTGAGAAAGTATTTTCCTAACAATGCCAATAAGGAAGAGTTAAATCCAAAGAGAACCACGGATGTAAAGGAGTGAAAACCAATTTGCAGTAAATGGAAAGAAACTGGAGAATGTGTCAAGGAAAGAGAGACGGCAACAGCAGACAGGAAGCCAAAAGTAGAATAAAATAACAAAAATACTTGCAACTAAAACTTGAGAATGTGAACAAGGATATGTAAACAAAGCCACAATTTTGTCGGAATATCACGTGTCCTACAAAGCAGAGGACAGACAGGAGTCAGCCTTACCTCTTCTAACTGTACCATGAGCGTGACATTGTGTCCTTGTTCTGCTGTCAGTTTTCCATCTGCAGTGATGATCCGGAGCCCTCGAGGGGCCTTCCCTGGGCACTTCTGTGGTTTGGCAGTATACTGCTCTCTCACACCGTCTGTGCAGTTATTGGAGACCACTTTTCTATACCTATGTGTACAAATTCACAAGTCATACATCAGGCCATGTAATTACTACTGAAATTTGAAACTAGACCTATAGCGTAGCATGATGACCCCCTAACTGCCGACCTTTCATGTTGCCAGCAGTATTTGAGATGATTTGTATAAAGTACCTTTTACTCCATAGGCTCCTTTGTGAGAACATATGGTACCCAGCTGGTGACCCTGCTTTGGGAGGTGGAAGGACTTTTATGCAGTGGGCCTAGATGGAAAACTATCATTGAGGATGAGTCTTAAAGTGCATCGATCCCTTGGTTTCTTGATCAGTTAAGATGCAAACAAGCTGCATTGCAAGTTCCCATTGTCATTTATTCCCTGACATGAGGGACTGAATCTCTCAACCTGTGAATGAAAACAATACTCTCCTACCTTAAATTGGTTTTGTTACATATTTTGCCACAAAGACAAAAAAAGTAATGGACGTGATATCCAGCAACAGGAAAAAAAAACAAATCAAGAAATACTAACTATAATTAGCATTTCCATTGACTTTTAAAAACTATGTCTTTATTTTGTGTATGTGTATGTACATGAGTGTATGTATGTATACCCACAAGCAAGCAGACTCCTAGGGAGGCCAGAAGAGGGCACTGCACCTCCTGGAACTGGAGCCAGAGCTCTTTGTGAACCAGCTCTGTAGCCTGCTATACACTTCTTTTAGACATCTACTCAAAAGATGAATCTTTCCTTCATTGGGAGCTGTGAGATATGCATAGAGGTGAAAGACTTGATCTCTTGGATCACTGTTAATAATCAGTTGAAAATACATAGAGATAATTTAGATGATAATTCAAAGATCACATAATTGTGGATTAGAAAAAGCACCAAGTTTGTACTCTTTTGCCCCTTGTATACACATACAAGAACACCAGTGATATATACATACTAGAACACCCAGTGAAACATCTATGATGGCAGAGAGTATTAAAATCTGGAACTGGTATGCTTTTTTCCTATAAATAAAGATTAATTTACAAATTAAGCATAACAAGCTAAAACAAAACATAATGGCAAAGTAAATGCCTAAAATAAAGACTGTCATAAAATTTGTGTGAATTTGGGTTTTATATTGTACTCACACCTTTGATGATGATGTAAGAAGATGCTATCTTTATAAGAAGAGATGAAATTAAGAGTGTGATACAGACATGGAGAAGCATGCAGAGCTGGGTAAGTGTTCATTCCAGAATGTAGCACATTCATCCCTGTGATTTTCCATCCAGACTGTAGTTGATGCTTGGCAGCTAAATGTGTAGAATATAAAGCTATGGGTTGGAGAAACTAGGGATAAATGTGCATATTGTAAGACTATGTGCAAGTCAGAGAAAGCATAGATTACTAGCGGTATGTGATTCAGACTGAAGCTAAGGGTTCAGTAGCAGCAAAAGACAAGAAAAGATGGCAAGATTTGGTAATATGTGCTCATTCTTTCATGAATGTCAATTCTGATTAAGCCTGAAAGCCTTATTCTGAAAATAATTCAACATCTGCAGACTGAGTAAACCTATATACTATTGCCTTCATTCCTTGTTTAACCTCAGCAGAAACAATGGGTCACTTTACAAACTTGTCTTTTGCAATTCATTTTATCTGTGGTAAATTAAGTCTATGATTTTAGGACAGCAATTTTAAGAATTCTGGAGATGTACATCACCCACTGCAGTGTGTATAGTGAGTACTTTAAGCATGTATGTACCTGATTTCCCAAACTTCCCCTTTAGGGTCAATGCAGAGTTCAAGTTAGAATCTGTTTAACCCAGTTTCCCACTGTTTTAGACCAAAGATTAGATAATAAATCTTGAGACTGGCCTAGACAACTAGTAAAAGAATGAACAAACATGGTTCCCCTTTAAAGTCTGTTCATTACATCACTGGTGATGGACTGGATTTGCCTGCAGGTGCTTTTCTAATCCATTGATACCTAGCAAGTATGCTTTCCTCTGTTGGCAAGACTCCAGACTGACTACTTAAAACTAGGACTGAGAAACAAATAAGATGCTTTTTTGTTAAAGATCTTCATACACTATGAATTAAGACTAAGTAGATAATTAATACTTAATTTACCTTGTAGTATAGGTACAAGATCAAATGAATTAAGGCAAAAAGATTAAATTAGTAAATGTTGATGAACTATTACTAACTATTTAAAAATATTATGACTTCACCTTCCCACTTCCAACCTGTAGGGCATCCAACCAGTCTCAGGATATGTTGAAATATAAGCCACTACTTAATGCTCTCTGTTAGCATTCTGCCTCCTTTCTGCTTCTCTGAACTCTTTATCCCAAGCAAACTCATTTGACTCCAGCCAAATCTTACTCACTAATCCCTTAGGAAGCATTGGTTCATTCCTCCATGCTCTATGTGCTACCCAGAGCTCACCCATCCTTTACAGGGCAGCTTACCTCTTACTCTCTCAAAAACAAAATTTCTAGACTAGAATGGGAAAATAGCAACAACATAAACACAAATTCACATTTCCAGAATTATTCCTGTGCTCTGATTATGATACAGGCTCTCTGCATGATTTCCTTCATCTATTTTCACATGTCTTTAGTGAGGAAGCCATTACTGTCATTCTCAGTATGTAGATAGAAAGTTGGGACTTAGAAGAGTTAACTAGCATTCTCAATATCACACAGCCAGGATCCTGGACCATGGGTCACATGAGCATCCTTTTTCTGTTCTACTCCATTTCACTGTCCCTTTAAATGGAGTGAGATTGCCCTTCTGACCACCTAAGTCTTGATTGTTTACATGCTAAAATCCTTTGCATAATTTTATTCCTGTCTGTGACTTTGAAGTGTAAGCTCCTTAACAACCTAACCTCATTGTATCTCAAATAAATGCAAGGCTAGGCAACAGGGCGTGGACTCTGGCACGACTGTTTCAGCTTAAATGTTGAAAATGCCTGCAGGACAATGGCTCAGATACCCCTTCTAATGATAAAGGTTTGTGGACTCTATCCTCTCCTAATTGTCCAGCACCTCAGGGTTTCAACATCTAGAGCAACAGGAGAACCCCAAATTCTTCCATTAGCATTATGATCACTGTCCACTGGGGTGGTGTATTGTCATGTCTGAGGATTTTGAATATCAGTCCAGTTTAGGTGTTTATGAATAAACATCAGAAGAGAGGGGAGAGAGAGAGAGAGAGAGAGAGAGAGAGAGAGAAAGAGAGAGAGAGAGAGAATCATGGCAGGTGAGAAAGATTGGAGAAAACGGTACAACGAAAGAAACTCTAGTGTAGGTGTTGGAAACCGCTAGCATTTTAGTACCAGCAAAGATGTGAAGACATTGATTAGCAAGGCCGTCTGGTATAATTATGGCCTTTCAGAGTGTATAACTGCATCAAAGCTGCCTGCATGTTTCTGCAGTATAGCTCTGCGCAAATGGAAGGTGGTTGGGATTCTTAATTACTTAGAATCTAAACACACCTGTGGCTCTGCCTTGGCAAGCAGCTAGAGAAACCTGGGCTCTTTATCATCCATCACTGCCGTCATCAGAGAGAGCGCTCTTCCTTTGTTTGCTGCTGTTCTGACCAATCATCACTTGGGCTTTCCCAAATCCTGTAGCTACAGGACTCTGCTTAAATCCAAAGCACGAATCCAACCCTCTGGGAATCTGCCACTAAGAGGACTATTGGCAATTTTTCTTTTTAATGCTCATTAAAATCCATTCTGAAACCATTTTATATCTCGGATGAAAATGGCATCACATTAGCCAGACCAGACCTGTCCCTGACATTTAGAAGAAAATTGTGCAGAAATACAGAGTTAATTTACTCAAGTCAGCACACACCTGCCTTTTGCATCACAGAATGGTTCTATTTTCATCTCAGCAGCTGTCCCTGGGTCTGAGTTACATAAATGAATAATGCATTTAATATGTTATTAAATGGGACTGCTACCTCCATAATAACAAGGCAACTTATGATTATGTTGGACCTGAGGTCTGAATATTACAGGGATGCATTTAGTTGGTAAAGCATTCTTCAATCTGCCACAAAGAAAAGTGCTTTGTAATGGCAAGGGAGTCTTTTCACAATTACTGAAAAGGAAACATTCTGTAAATGCACCTTTGATATTAGCTGTGGCTCATCAGTAGACAGTATCTTATTACTCCAACAGCCCCCGTTCCAGCTATTCTCTTCCTTCCCATCTTATATGCCTTCCTAACCTTCTACTTTGTACTCATACTTTCTTTGATTTTACTTTCTATGCTGCCTGACAGTCTTTAAAAAAAAAACCTTATATTTTCTTTGTGAAACTAAACTGGAAAGAAACAGTAAAAGCAGCTATATTCCACGATATTTCAATTTAGTATTTGTCCTCTGAGTTTGTGGTGATGTTATTGAACTGCGGACGACTACAAGCATTCATTGTAGAATATGATGACATTATTGCCTAATCTTGGCATATCTTAATTCAGTATGTATTTCTTTTTAAAATCTATTTTGAATTGATAGAAAAACTTTATATTTAAGGACTGTAATATTATGCTTTAATCTGTGTAGACACGATAGAAAGATAATCAAGGTAATAGCTATGTCCATTATTTCAGCAGCATAACTAATCTTCTGTGGCAGGAATGTCAAAACAGAGGATCTGCTTTTTAATGTTTATATCCATTGACAAATGCTACTCACACCTTTAATCAGGGAAGGCCCCCTATTTCCACACTGAACTCAAGTGACTGTGAGGCAGACTCATGGATGACTAGGTGCTAGGAATAAGTGGCAGATGAGTGCTTGACTCTACACTAGACCTTTGTGATATTCCTGTAAGTATCAGAGAACACTGTAGAAGAGGGGATAATGTAAGAGCTAGAAGAAAGACAGGACTTTAAAAGGTATTTTCACATAAAATGCATCCACCTAAATCACTAACTCACATTAGCTTCCAGTGCCTTAACTGTGTCTGTACAAAAACTGGGAACATCAACACTTGGGTATGACTGGAGGAGAGAC